ACTTGATTTGTCGAGCATAATTGTATGGATAATCTCAATCCATTACTTTGTGCCACAGAACAGCTTTCCATTCACACATACATCTCCTCTGAAATAGGAAAGTATTCTCACATTTTATTCACATAATGGTTTTGATAGAAAATCTGTTTTGCTGCAGATGAGGGCCCTGGAGGTTTTTGGTCTATTGTAATACATAAGAGCTGCCTGACACTGCAGCATTCGTTCCCTAGTGCGATTGCCTAGCAGGGCTAAAAGCACTGATGTCTTTTACAGTTCTGGTATTGCCATTATCCATTTCAATGGGGTTTAAATGTAAAAGTGAAATTGATGGTGTTAAAGCATGAATTTCAATCATGCTAAGAAAGAAGATATTGATGGGAGCCAGCAAGGGAGCTTTGAAAAAATATTGCAAGGAAGGAGCCAAAAGGCTGGTTACTATAAGGCCAGTGACTATTTCCAGTTACTAAGCTGCCACACATTAAAGGATGTCTGTCCATGTTGCATAACAAATACAAGGTGTATTTGCCCCTGTCAGTATTATTAGTCTCCTCCCTTCTCCATGAGGTCGGACTAAATGGAAAAATTCTTCAAGTCTTAGTTCAGTTTTTTGTCTGAGATTTAAGATGTCCCTTCTCATTAATTTGTGCAGTAGAGTGGTTTCTTGTGGCTACCGAGTATCGCTGTACTTGCAAAAATTATACCTCTATAATTATAGTGCAGGTCTCTGTCTGAGAATGGGTCTTTACAGAGCAGCAGAAGAGACACTTTGTACCACACAGCTTACAAAGAACGCTGAAACTCAGAGTGAGTTATACTAATGAGAAAGCAGTGAGAGTGTTTTGCAGGAGCTTAACAAGTTGTATTTTAATTTTCACAGCAGACAAGCAGAGCTGTGAGCAACTTTGACACAAATTGAAAACAGAATCACAAAGTGTTACTCAGTCCATTGAAGCACCTCTGCCTCAGCTATGGCTCTGATTCCTGCTTGGATCCAGGCAAACATCCATGACAGTTTCCTTTGGTGCTGTGGTCAGCAATTCCCTTGTCTGCCTCTGTGTGCCCTGTGTCCTAAGGCTTACTGCCATCACCAAGAAATATGGAATTTTATGAGAAACATAGCCATGTGTTGGGGTTCTCGACATTTACCTTGAGTTGCAAACAATTGAAAAGGCTTTTCTGGTGTCTTGATGGATTTGTATTTGTGCTTCTCTGACAGCAGCATGTTCTGTAGCTGTTTAATTGGTTTAAATCAAATTTAAACACTAAAGCAAGTTTAAAAAAGAGAACTGCACGATAGAGCTGTGGTGTTCATTACAGAATTATAGCTGAGGATGCAAAGAAGAGAGTAAAATTGCAATGTCATATTTCAGATAATGCAGTGAAAATCATCCTTAGATGCTGGTATTTTTATAAATAAAAAGCTTATCATTYATAGTGTTCTTTCTAAACAAACTTTCCCGCCTTCTGTTATTCTGATATTCCTGCTGCCATACCTCTACTCTGTGGTTTAAATTCCAGTTTTCTCCATCTGCAGCTTGTCAGCCTAAAGTGGGAGAAAAATGCCTGTGGATCAATATGTTCAAACCACTTGAGGAAAGAATTGTGACTATGTAGCCAAGAAATTTTAAGGCACAGTGACTGACAAAAGTGACCAGCAAGAAACAATAATAATGTGTGTAAAGATAACTTTTATACAGTGCTTCCTTAGGGAGCACCTTCCTTTAAAAAAGATACCATTTTATGATAAAAATCATTATTTATGTTTAGCAAAACATTTCTATTGTACTCTTAMTAAAAAGTCTTTTTCCCCTGAAAGTGCTTTGAGATGCATGTATACTAGTGTGCAAAACCATGATTTTATCTGTATAGGAATTTCTTATGAATAATCTTGGAAAATATCTCTCTCTTGGTGCGGATTCTCCCATTCTGTCTGCCTTGTTTGTATCCACCCTCTCACCAATAAGATCTGCAGCCAAGGTTTTCTGTGGAGCCAAATCWTTGCATTTTGAATTAAATGTAAATCCTTAGTGGTGGACCTTTTCAGTAGGCTGAGTGCAGCGCTAAACAAAAATTGATTCATTTTGTTTCAATAAGAAGGTGATGAAGCTTCTGTCTGAACCCACCTGCCTATCTGGCCCTGTAGCTGAGCTCGGTAGCAGCAGTCCTTGCAGGAGTGCTGAGGTAAAGGTTTGAAATCTTAGCCATAGGGCTGTGCCCTGCTGGATAAACCCACAAACAATCCTAAAGACTCTGAAATGTCTGATTGATCACACACAACTGAGAACTACTTCCCTGTAAAGGCAAACCAAGCTTTGATTACRTGCTGTTGTAGTTAAGGATTTAAGCCACAGTGTCCCAGCATTACAGACTAAGTCTATGTTAAACTGCATTTAATGCTTTCAAATTTGCAAAACAATTAAAAATATATAAGCACTAAACAGCCAAATGCATAGCTGTTTTATATAGCAGCTCCTGCTCTTATTTACTTTATTGCAATATTAATTATAATAAGATACTGCATTGGTCTCATTTGGTGAAGTCAGGTGGCTGGGGAACCTTTCTCACTGAAGAGAGATTTGCCTCGAGTAATATTTGAAATCTGTAGCTCTCACAGCAATTTTATTTGTCATGTGTTCTTCATGATTTAGGCTAACAAGTTTGGTAATATTCAGGGTATGTAAATTTAAGGATCTAAAATACTTATTTAAGTTACAAAGACATACAAGCATTTCTACAAGGTTATTCAGGGCAGCTAAATTAGCTCCTGAACAGGGATTGTATTAATGTATTCCTGACTTAGTTGTCTAAGTCCCACTTATTTCATGTRAGTTTATTCAGCAAGTGGAATAAAATCCTTTTTGAGGGTCTGTCAGTAGATAGCATATCTGTAGGTCCTAGGAAAAGAAAATATAGATATCCAGGTACATCTACAAGTGGAAAAGAATATACAAAGCCCATCTGGATCCTGTACTAAGAGATCATTGACAAGGAACTCTGGCATCTAGACCATAAACAATCCTTATATTGAGGGAGCACTTTGAAAAGTGAGGGAGAAAGACACCTGAGCCCATGAATGAAAATAAAATTCTAGACCTTTTCTATCTTTGCTGCTTTAGCACTAGGTATGTTTTCAGAGAACAACCTTGCAATTAATGGGCAGATATTTCTTGTCCAAGCAGGTTTATKATATGAAGATTATTGACATTTCTATGAAAATATTAATAACATTCAATATGGAAATTACTGGTTTGTGTAAGCAGGGTAAATAGCAATACATGTTGAAAATTATCTGACCTAGCCAAACTGGTCAATTCACAATCCCGTATGTCTTTCATGAATGCTCATTTCTTCCCATTTTCACTGCTCACACACGCATCTGCACATACACACACAAAATCTCAGTTACAGCTTTCCTCCTGGGATGCCTTGAAGTAAATGGAAAGTAACTTCTTTTTCCAAATACTCTGCATCCTTGAGAGAGGCAGAATTAAATGGAGGGTATGGAATAAGTACTATGGAAAGCAATAGTATGCGTGTATTTTTACCCAAAGACTCCTGTTAATTCAGATGTTCAATTTAAATTTGAATAGAGATTAATAATTTCACAAATAATAAAACTTCTGACACAGATTTGGGCCAGTGGTATAATATATAAGCATGTATAACTTCTGAAGCTTMAGCCATTCTCATTCATATTCATCTGGTGCTAACCAGACAAATAATAACATTATCACCTACTTCAGTAATCAAACAATGGAAAACCAATATCTTGGACTGGGATGGAAAGTGGTTTATTATAGTGTTTATTAGCTGGAATACAAAGGACTCAGCTGTGGTGACATAATGAGTGATATTCTAATAAATTTCTGAAACTGGATACATGAGCATTCTGATGAAACCGGAATGAGCCGTTTCTGTTTCTCATTGCCTTACCATATCAYCTATATAATCATCATAGAACCATTATAGCAGGGCCTGGGTTGGAAGAGATCTTAAAGATCATCCAGTTCCAACATCCCTGCTGTGGGTAGGGACACCTTCCACTAGACCAGGTGCTCAGGGTCTTAATCCAGCCYRRTCTTGAACACTTCCAGGGGTGGGGCAWCCAMARTTTCCCTGGGAAACCTGTTTCAGTTTCTCACCACCTTCAYAGTAAAGAATTTATTTCTAATATTTAATCTAAATCTACTATCTATCAGTTTAAAGCCATTCACTCTTGTCCTGTCACTGCATGCCACTGTGAAAAATCCCTCTCCATCTTTCTTGTACCTCCCTTCAGGTACTGGAAGGCAGCAATTGAGTCWCCCCAAAGCCTTCCCTTATGAATCTTATGATTTTCTTATTAAGAGAATCTTATCTGCTCTTATACCTTATGATTTTTTTTTTTACATTGTAAGGCTACCTTGCACTGAATTTGACTGTCTCTCTASCTAAAGTACAGCAATAGTTGTTGGATGTTAATAATTATTATATTTCTCCAGTAGAAGTGTACTAGGGGACTATTAGGTGCATATGTTGTGTCTGCATTGCTTAGCTTCATTTACTGGATTTTTCCTGTGATATCTACTAATCGACTTCTAATAGGCATGGYTACATTTTCGCAAGGAGGGGGTGTAGCTGTGCAGGGTAATTTTGAAGACAGATAAGTCACATGTGAAGCAATGTGTGAAAGCAAAACCTGTCCCTAGTGTTTTCCACTCTGTCTGATCTGCCATGAGTTCAGTGTTACTATACCAAACATATTATRGCAACACATTTGAGTGTGACTGGATATGATAAATTCAGAGCTTGAAAATAAATTTACCATTAATGTGTTCTGTCTTCTGAAATTTGTCGCACCATGCCCAGAAAAACAAAAAGGAGGTAGCAAGAATCAAGGTGCTCAGGGTTCTTTCTTCAACATAGACAGCGCTGTAGCATATGTKGACATTAAAATCTTCAACTTTTCCRACACCTTCAAGGGAGCACTGAAATGTGTCTTTCCTGTCTCTCCCCTGCAGGGAATTACTGGAACGCAGCTTCCTTCGTTACTTCATCATCTTACCTCCACTTCTCCACCTTCCAAGGGGAAACCAGCGCAGACATCTCTTTCTATTTCAAAACATCYGCCTCAGATGGGGTGTTTCTTGAGAATCTGGGCAACACTGACTTCATCAAACTGGAGTTGAAATGTAAGTAGATGCTTCCTATTGCTATTCTTGGCACCTAAGTGGGTTTGTGTTGCATAGTAGGTTTCAAAAAATGTGTTCCATTCAGTAAAATGTGTAAGCTCTCTAAATCCTGGAACAACTCCCAAATCAAACTGCTTGACATATTTTCAAGTTGCCTTCTGTGAGAGGAGTGCTTGAAGTATATTTGGATTGTTTATTGAGGGGAAAAATACAAAGAAGAATAGAACTGGTAACATCAATTACAAAAATGACACTGACCTGAAAAGGGTTTTCAAAATTGCATGTCAGAATTATTTCTTAAAAATTTATGTCCTCAGCTCTGTGTGCTATTTTATTTCATGGTTGCTTTGGAAACAGGGGAAAAAAAGAAAAAAGGGMCACCATCCTAATCAGCCCTGCAAGGAGGCAAAGAGCTGAAAACTTGCATATGATATTTGAAAGCCATAAAACATCTCATAAAAATMAATCTTTATCAGCATTATCTGTTAATAAAATCACTGATCTGAAAAAGAGAGTCTAATGATACCAAGAAGCAAGTCRATTTTATTATTTAAACCACTTTTAATGGCCCAGGGGCAAACTTTCTGACAAAGGTGCTGAAATCCTCATCTGCACCTGAATTCTGCTTAGCAGAATTGAAGCAGTTGAATTAGTGGGAAACATGCTTTATGTCTCCTTTGTTCTCCCTTGACCCTGCCATAAATGGGAGCAGCAAGAGGCCCTCTGTGCTGTGTGTGGTTGCTATTACAGCCTCCAGCAGCACATTACAGCCTCCCTGCACTGGGGCACTGGGAAAAGCTCCTGGGTGTTTCCTTTTTCTGCAGGAGCTACTCATGGATGCCAAGGACCCAGCTCTAAATGTTGATGCACAAAAGTCAGTGAGTCATTAATGTTGAAAGAGAAGCAATTGGCTTGTGGACCCCTAAATAACCTATTTTTAATGCAGATTCAACATCATTTACATATAAACATCTAATTTAAAAAAATTTAAAAAAAAAAAAACCAGCCATTTTCAACACTTCCCAACATTCAAACACACAAATCAGAATGTAGAAATCTAGAAACCACTGAGAGGCTCCTTTAAAATGCGTTTAAATTTTTCCCTCCAGGTATGAATAAAATGCCATGATCCATTTGGATGCCTTTTTTTCTTTCTTTCTACAATGAATTTAGTACACATTRCTTAATCCAATTTCCCTAATCTGCAATTTGTGCAAATCAAAATAGCTCCTATTGAGTCACAGGGAATAGTCWTATTTGCTTTGCCAAGGGGCAAGGCCTTTTAATAATAAAGCAGCAGCTCTTCCTAATTTCTCTTTGAATTTAAGTAGTACCTGCAGTCAGCTGAGGTGGGCTTCTTCTGAGCTTCTCGCTCTTCTGCTTCATGGAAGGTGTTCTCAGCCACTGCAACCAGACCAACCATGATGTTGTTCACTTTGCTAAAAAGTGACAATGTCAGTGTATAAAGGTGACTTGACAGCAATTAAAATTCTTTTGAACTCRGCTCAGGGTAAGTAATAATCCTGCTGCAGTGTGTCACTGAGCAGATGTACTAGTTCAAGAAAGTAAGTGGCAGTGTGCTCAGACTGTCATTAAATAGGACTTTAATTTTAAGCCTATGCTTGAGATCTACTGACTTTTCTGAGAYCTGGCGTATGCATAAATTTAACCTCTGCCTCCTGTCCCTGAATCTTTACCTTAGATTATAGATCCTTGATGGAAGAAGCTGAAGTATAACCTGTAAGAACAGAGGTAAAACTGTTCTTATACTATCTGTAAAAAYTATCCAGATAATATTTGCTAAAAAGGACAAAGCAGTTGATTCGATATACTTGCATTTATTTTTCCTCTGGGCTTGAAATTTTCAGCACCCCAGGAAAAGGCCTTTCTATGTCTTAAGTGGTCTACAGGTCACAACTGAAAAAGTGCTGAATTCTGTGGGCTTAATAACAAAAAGAAAAATCACCCTCTCTTCTGAATTACACATTTATTAATGAATGTTTGTTTCACATATTTTTTAGGTTTGTTTTGTTCYGGTCTGCACTTGCAGTTTTCTGGAATTCATTTAAATGAAAGTAAAGTTTCAGAATTTCAGAAGTACTTTACATGGCTCTATAGTCAACTCTGCTGCTTCTTAAAAGTCTRTTTCCTTTTTATAGAAGTCCTGTAAAATTAATACATTAATTTATTTCTTTGATAGGAACATAAATTTAAGTCAGTGAGGTAATTACAGAATTATCCCTAAAGTCTGAAGAAGCTTTCCTTTGGGAAGCCTCTTTTTAGCTAGCCCATCACGTTCTCTACTAGAACAGTTATTTTGTATTAAAGGATTTTTACCTAATGACCACCGCCACACATTTACTGAAAGCTGTTGCACTTCACACAGGGGATTGCTTTTGTCTGTTTATTGCCTTCTCATACAGGCACAGTTCTCACTGAAGATGGATGAGTTCCTACTAAGACTGTTCTCAATTTCTTTATTTTTTACCATTACAAAAGGCAAATTTTAAAATCAGAATCCTGCCTGTAAAAATTCTATTTTCTTTTTCCCTTAGGTGTAGAATATTTAGGTACYTGTAATATATGGTTAATGATGTACAAGCTTAGTTCTACAGAGCAGGAASAGAAAGGTTCTACAATATCCAGGATTTTAATCAGCTTACTGCACTTGGTGAATGCATTAGGGAAACACATCCTTCAGTCTATTAAAATTCTTAGCTTCAAGTCTTTGGAAAGGAGTTTGCATGTTTTATTCTGAGCACAAAACTTGTTACTAGGAGCACTCATTAAATTATTTTGCTGGCACACTGTCTCTAATAATTCTCAAGTCTTACATTGTCTTAGRGTCTAATAATTGTACAGATCTTCTRCCTCTCCAGATTGATATGAAAAAGAGGTGAAATTTGCAGTATCTTGAACAGATATTTTGAACTTCATGCACCTTCAGGAAAGTCCCAGATTGCCTTCTCTGAGGAGGAGGGGAATACAGGAAAGAAGGGAAGACTGCATTTCCCTGATTTCAGAAGCAGCTCTTCCAAATAGCTGGCAAGGAAAGCTCCTATTAAAAAAAAAAAAAAAAAAAAAAAAAAAAAAAAACACCACCAGGGATAAAATGTTACTATGAATGTGGCTGAAGTCTTTAGCTATTCCATTTATCAAGCAACTCCTCTGGCAGGCTTGTACTTGTCACCTTTCGTGGAACAGTTGACAGAGATGTAGAATTACCTGAAGCCTCAATTTTTACATACAGCAGTAAATCTACAGAACCCCATTATTTTCATAGCTGGCTGATCAGCTGACAATGTCTAGGATTGCTTAGAAAGGTGGYAGTTGAATAAAGTATTAATTTTTCTGCAAGGCAGAAACCATTCATCTCTAGTTAAAATTTCCACATTTTTTTTAAATTAAAACTGGTTTTTAGAGAGAGAAAAAGAGGATGTTTTCTCTTTTAGAGCTTTCCTATATASTTTTGTACATTTATGAAATATGGAYGGAAGATTTAGACTTATGACTATGAAAATGTAGCTACTTCATACCTGAGATGCTTGTTAAATAGATCACATTTGAATTTTCTATTTGAGAGATATCACAAGTTTTGGAAAAGATGTATTCCTGGAAGTAAATTTTGAAAGGGGCATATTAGTGGTAATTTGGGAAGAAGCATCTATGATCRGTTTCCAGAAAACTCTCAATGATACTGTCATATAACTGTGTTGAAAAAGGCATTCTACTCACTGCTTTAGCTCCTCTTATCCAAGCACCTYGAAGCAATTCACAGACACTAATGAATTGTGTCTCACTGTTATTATTCTAAGGTAAGTAAACAGCAAGTCACTTTTGCAAGAGAAAAAAAATGATGAGGCTTAGAGATAAAGGTCAGCTTGTATTTGATCCTGGCATGAACATGTAGAAGAGGAAGGATCTTTCCTACTAATTTATTGTAAAAAGTCAGGGACATTTATATCCACTGCATTCAGGGGTGTCACTTGGCTGATGACCCCTAAAAGCRCCCTAAAAGTCTCCCCAAGGGGTGATCACTGAACTTGGCAGCTGTGAAAGGGATCATATGGATCATTGCTAATGAGAGCAGAGGAATGGCTTCAGGATGGGTGAACTTGCTCTGTGACCAGGGGATACTCACGGTGCTCTAATACCTGACATTTGCACGTGGAAAGTCCTGTGCTGCTTCTGGGGCTCGGCTGTTTCCAGGCTGCTTAGTTGGCACATAAGTAACTCCTCTAAAATCAGACAAGAAGCAGTGACARACTAGGGACCACGATTCCCATGGCTGTTTGCTTCTGCCCAGACAGCGTTCATTCCTCCAGACTGAATGCTCCAACAYATGACTAATTAATATATTTGCTTAAAAATTTTAATAACTCCATCACATCTTTCTCTAGAGGCATCCTTAAATACATTTCTACCATATCAATCAGTTTTCCACATGATGCTCAAAGTCCCATGTGTTAAGGTAAACCCAGCTTACATTTCCACCTCAGTATGGAAACTAATGTGACCTTCATTGTTACTTTTAATTGAGTTGTTATTTTGTTTTCCAAGCAGAAGGTCACTTTTATATAAAATACCCCTGTAGGAAAGCATGTTGCATTAGCCAYGTGTCAAAGAACGCATAGGCACTGAGGAATCTCTTTATCCCAGAGGCCCACAAGGAGTTGTTAAATTAAGTGGGAAAGCATTACATTTCTTCAGGGAGATTTATGACCCAAATGTTTTTACAGCAGTACTTGCAAACACTCGTCCTACTTCAGGACAATACAAAAGTTTCAAACCAACGAAAGGAAACATGGTCTGAAGAACTGCAAGCACTGTYCTTTGAAAGACAAGATTCTGTTTCAGTTGAGGCAGCTGATGTAGAAATACCGATATTCAACAAAGCAATTTATGACTCATCTGAGAAGATCAGTTCCACCTCTATCTTGTTCCAAATTAGCAGATGGGGACGGGTGCCCAGTCTGGCATGTAGGAGCAAGCTAAAGGCA